GTGGTGGTAGTACGTAGTTAGTAAGTAAGTAAGTTACGTTACTTACTTATACGTCGTCGTGTCGGTACGTTCGTTCGTCGTCTACTACTACTACTACTATACTACTACTCTCTCTCTCTCTCTCTCTCTCTCTCTCTCTCTCTCTCTCTCTCTACTAACAGCCTATTCCACTAAATTTGTTCCATATGGCTTCTTTTAAAAGTCAAATTAAATTAATGCCAAAAAAAAAAAATCAGTTAGAGAGATCCATTTATTGTTATAAGTTGCATTTTAAATTTCATTTTGAAGATAAAATGAACTTAATCGACAACAAAACACTTTAACATAAGACAGATTCTCAGTATTTACATACTTTTGATACAATAATGAACAACCATAATGCAATTGCCACTATTTTTTTTAGAAACCTAAAAAACTAAATTTTTGAGAAATTCTAGTGACTTTTTTAAATTGTTTTTTACTGAGATTGACCGATTCTCCGATCCGGATTGCTGATCCACCAATCCCTCACGGTTTTTGGGGTGGCCGATCCAGGTCACCGATCCATTTTTTTAAACCTTAGTTTTATTAAAAGTGATTTACTAATGGAATTTTGGTGGATTTTTTAGAAATTAAAAATTGGAATTTATACACATATTTTAAGAGTGAAATTCGAGTTTTGTGCATATGTGTGAGCCCTTCCAGAAGGGGCATAGGGTTTGATATTACAATTGAAATCCTAAAGACAATTGTAAATGTGCACTTAATTAATTCAGACATGTGGCACCATATGATTGGCTACACATACTCTTTTAAAATGGAGGGTAACTTTCAAATTTGAATTTTTCTGGAAAATGTGCCAAATTAGGTATATGCCTCAAACCTTGATTTCTAACTTGATTATTGAAAAGAGCATGGGCATTTTTATAAAGGGAATTTAGGGTTAACTATGGAATAAATTAAGGATAATAGTGTTTTAATCCTTACCACACATCAAAATGGCATGATGGTGGATGGAAGACTAAGATCAAGTCTCTCATTGTGCCACAGATTGCTGACATGAATGGCCATGATTCACCAATCTAGAAGCATTTCTATATTAGAAGCCTATAAATATCCCCTCATTCTCTCATTCTCCACACACATAACTCTCGTTGTCTCTCTCTCTAGAGTGGCACGCCCCACTCTCTCACTCTAGAGTGGCATGCCCTAGCCCCTTTCCTCTTCATTTCTCTTCATCATGTCAGATTAGATTCGAGTGTAGTGAGGAGAAGAAGACCTAGTGAGAGAGTTGAATTAAGCTCCATTAAAGCTCAATTCAAGCTCCATCAAGCGAGAGGATGATCAAGCGAATATAAGGCACTCAAATTGAGTACGATCATCTCTTTTCTCCATTGATTTTGAAATAACTCGAGCTGTATAATCTCATTTACAGAAAGATGTCTCCATCTCACAGCTCCATAATTCATGAGTGCTTGATCTTAAATTGATCCTTATGATTAAGGGAGTGATCTATCTTTGATTGAGATAGTTTTTCTAAGAGATTTTCTATGAGTTTTATAGGATTTAATTGACAGAAATTTTCTGGGATTTTGGGATCAAGATCAGTCAATTAAATAACAAAATTGATGGAGCAATTTTGAGAATTTTCAAGGGAAACTATGTCTGATTTTTTCTCCATAGCATGCCTACTCATTTTGAGCTTGATCTTGTGATCTAAGCCTACATTTCTCCCACGATTTTCCCAACAAAGTTTGATCCCAGATTTTCAAACCCCTCTAATCCAGAAAAAATGTAGATCCAAGAAGCTTGACTTCCCATTACTCTGATAGAGTGAATTTGGCCATCGCATTTCACACTATGTTACATAGCCAAGACCTTGGCCGTGTACTGGGCAATATGAGATCTCAAAGGCTTCCCATGATCATGTTATTTTGGTTGCTTGAGCATTCATGTGATTGTAATGTGGAGATCATGATTTGATAAAGTCATATGATGAAAATTGATGCATAATTTTACATCTAATTTTGCATAGTGCTGAATTTTCAAGAGCACTACTTTTAAAGTTGTACACTTCATCTCCTTGAGTAGTTTTGTGTTGTTGCCGACAATGGATCCAAAGTGAGTTGTATCCTCAATGTAATGAGTGTATAGAAGGGATAAAAGTGCCATATGTAGTTGAGGCATAAAAGTGCCATATGTATTGTAACTTGCGAGGAAAATCGAGTTGTATCATCAAGTTTGTCTCAACTTTTAAAGTCTGGTATACCTTGGATTTGGTTTCTATACACTATCACTTTCAAGCCTTTCACAATCCCCCTGCTCCTGATTTGCTTCAACCCCAACAACTATGGGCTAGAAGGAATTTTTTGGGCTGAAAATTTGCACATTTGATTCAAAAAATAAGCAATTCCAGAAAAATGAATCTAAGTTCTTGAATGCCAAGATCCACTATCCACCACATGGACAGTCTATGTTAACTGAAAATCACAAACACATTGTCCCCATTTCTTTAGGTGAATTCAAGCTGCTTCTTTTTTTTTAATCACTTAGATGAGAACTACATGTATGCAACAGATCTCTACTTTTTAAAGTAGCACTATGGTATAAGCTTGGTGGGAGTGGCCTTCAGGGATCACAGTACTTATGCAAAATTGGACATCAAGCAACAGCTGCAACACTAACCCCAAGGGACTTTTCTATACAATAAAAAATAAATAACAGATAAATAAACAAACAGCAGTATTTGCATTTCAAAAAAGTAAAAGCACGAGGGAAACTCCTCCACAAGTGAATAATTCAATATTTTCTTGGTTGTTAGCTACAAAGCAAAATAAATGGTTCAAATTACCTCCATAGCAAGCCCATAAGTTGCTCCAGAAGGCTTTAACCCACTATGCCTCATTTGTCCCAGCACCCAGAATACTCCTTTCCAATCTCCGCATGGGACACAAGCATTCAGCACCTAATAGAAAGACAGTAAAATCAACCAGTTCTCACAATAAGATGAACTCAACAATACAAGAACTGATGTATGGCAGGTTGAACCATATATAAGGACCAAAAGGCAAACATACTGCATTGTATATGACCACATCTGGTTCTAAACATGGATTCCAGCTTTTGCGCTGGACATTCAATGCTTTTTTTGAAGGCCTCTGTCTCATATAGTCAATAACTTTTAACAACTCCTTGACCTGACCAGCTTGCCCAAGCGTTACAGCAATACTATGGTATGCAGCCATATCAGGGTAAAGGAAATAATCTTCCTGCAAAGAGCAGCCATGCAAAACTCAAATTATAAGTTAGGTATCGCTCACCAAACAATTGAAGGTGTTACTGATTTGTAAAAAAGCTATCAACCCAAAGGAACTTACTAAACTTTTCTTTTAAACGAAGTCAAGTCAAAGCAAATTTCGAATCAAAGATGTTGTGAGCAGAAGATTACACGCATTTCATTGAAAATGTCTAGAGCTTCACTAGGCCTCCTTGCCTTTCCTAGTACAGCCAAGAGTTTTGTATATACAAACCTGTATAACAAGATTCTATCAAGAACAAATGCTTTCCCACCAGCAAGTTGAATATAATTTCAGGTGAAAGCTTTTATAAATTGAATTTTACTTCCAATATTGAAAACTTATGAGGTGGACGGCATAATTATTTATTTGAGAAAATCATTCACTAATAACATAGAGCAAAAGAACTTGAACACATCAGTGACATATTTAGTTTATGTACCCCTAATGAATTATTTGGTGACATATTTAGTGTAGTTACAATGGCTCTTAACAAGTGACAAACAAAAAATGCAATAAATTCATATCAATTAGCCCTAGCCTCATTCAGACAAATCGCCACAAGTTTATGTATACAAAGCTATTCTATCAAAGGTATGTTGGTCTTAAAATTCATCATATCATCCCCATTTTTTGTCTTAAACTTAAATCACTTTGATACAAGATATTGAGAAAATAATATGTGATTACTACAGCAAAGGTTATTTGCCCAGACCATGATGCAGTGTTTTTTTTATAATGTTCACAATTGTATTGATGGAGAAAGAAGATACAGAGTAAAACACGTGCATATAAACACATATACAAACTCATTGCATGCCTGCTTAGCAGGTGCCCTTTACAGACCCCAAAAGGGGTAAAAAGTAAACTTAAAAATAGCTCTACAGTGACACAATTAGAAGGGAGGAAAAAGACTTCTAAGTAGCCGAAGGATTGAGGCTTGCACCATCCCTTGCTAAGGTGTCAGCCACAGCGTTAGCTTCCCTGAAAACATGCCTCCAGGAAATTCTTAAGGATCCAGTGATGCTAGCAATTTCATCGATTAATGGCTCAAGTCTCCACGAGCAAGGAGCGAGCCCTGAAGCCCAGGTAATTACATTACATTACCATGACACAGTGTTTATAAGTGAAATTTGTTCCCTCCCATTGGGAGTGAGGCAAGTTTGACAATAAGCTTCTTTAATAAATTTGAAGGAGAGTGAAATAATTTTTCATGTCGATTCAGTAGAGAAACTATACAGAGCTATCACTAGTCTGAATGCCACCTAGGTGTGCTTGTAAAACACTTCATAATCAAAACCTGAACTAAAGCAGCTCAAAATAAAATATAGGATTTGAAAGAAATCAAAGAAAAATTCTACTTGAGAATTAAGTCAAATAAAAGAAAGGCTAACAAAGCATATCTCTTCATGGTCCTTGTTACAGAACTCAAGACAAGAACAAGCCAAATCGTACAAAATTGATGTATAAGATCCAAAATGGATCCAAAAGATGAGTGCATGAGAATACTTGAGATCAAATCAAAAGGCTACATGACTGAGATTAAGTATATATAAAGGTGATCTAGGCGGTATGTAAAGGATGAAATATAATGTCTATGAAACCTGGGGGATAGGGTCCTAAAATTCATGGAAGGAATTAGGAAGAGAAATTAGGGTTCTTGGAGTTAGGTTTTAGGTTTAAAATAGGAAAACTAGGGATACATAGGGAAACGATGCCTAAATTAGAGGTATTTAAGTGTTGGGGTTATGTGGCATTTAATGACATTATGAGCACGTAAAAATGTGACTATAGTGACGTGATAGCTCCAGTGGGAGCATAGTCCGGATGGACTGTGTGGCATGGTCCAAGGTGGATTAAGAGGCATCACTGATGTCGTGACTCACCTAATTTTTTATGGGTTATGGCTAGGTTGATGTCTAAAATCCCGTAAACCTAGGCATTTGTGCACAACCAATAGGGGTTTCGATGTGGGGTCATCCCTTAATAAGGTCGACGTTGTTGCCAAGTTGGTAGGCCAAGGGACTGGGTGTGACCCATGTGTGCAGTAGTTGGCCGAAGAGAACAAGGACCAAATCCTCATCATTGTCATTGCACGGCATGTACACCAGATAGCCGTCAGAGAAGCCCTTTGTGAGCGGGTGTGTCATGTACATGTGCTAAAGAGATGTCTCCCAGCAACACTGGACTTTGTTAGGACCCATGATGTATTGTACTAAAATGGGGCATAGACTTGTCTGCAGGGAGGAACCTGTAATCCATGGGCGAAGATTGTGTCTCCTTCATTTATTGGCTCACTTTGATAGTCCAAGCACGAATCCTTGCGAAGGATTGTGGCTCATGGGAACTATTGGGCCAGTTTGAGAACATTACAATGAGATGCGGTTTCTGGAAAGGATGGATCCCACGGTATACTTGTGATATTCCTAACTCTTCCGATTCAATTCCCATCAAATCTTCTTAAATATGTTTACTTATATTTTAATTATATTTTAGATAATTAAAATGAATTTTTATAACTCTTTGGATAGTTTATTTTAGTGAAAAATGACTTTAACATCCAGAAAAATTAATTTTCTGGATTTATTTTAGAGAGAGAAAAATATTTATTGGTTTACTAAAATTCTTTTTATTTATCTAAAATTCATTTTGGGGTGTAGGGCCCATTGGAACTTTAGGCCCACTACGTTTGTCATGTCTAAATGTCATGTAGAAGTTTTGGTTGAGGATTTGGCCTTCACTCTCATGGGCACGTCCTCCACACACAAGAGACCACAAAGCTCTCCTGGCCAACAAACAACATCCCTGGGCATCTCTCCGACTTCGACCTCAACAAAGGACGACCCACATAAAACCTCAACACTAATGTTTATGCCCAGGGCTAAGGGTTTTGGACATGACTTTGGCCATAAATGGTCTAATCCTAGGTCAAGTCAAACGCATATACTTCCACTGAAGTGCATAATCCATTTTATTTACATGCTCTCTAAGCCTTTAAAAGCCACAATCCCCAACAAGTACATGTTGCACATGACCCAACACAAGATGTCCCAAACACCAAAGTAAAATGGATTTTTAGAATTTGTGCAATAAATAATCATAACTTTCAAACGATATATAGAATTGATGCAATTGGACCATTAACATGCCCTTAAATTCCCTACGAGCTACATACGTTTTAAGTCATTCCAGGTAAAGTTTGACTAGGGACAAATTTTGACTAAGTTTCTGATGGCATTCCAATAACTTAGGACCAAAGGGTGCATGGAAAAGCCTCTATGTGTAGTCTAGGGACTCTATTGTGGTCTGGGATGACAATTTCATGATCAAATTCAAGAACTGATCAAATTTCAGATGTCTACAGAGAATAACCATTCATGTTCAATAGCACAGCTTCATACTTCAATATCCAAATATTTAACCCATAAACAACATATTATTATTTTTAAATGGTGCCAATCCATTAAACCATCCACTCTTCTCTTTAAAGTTCTCTAAAACTACAATAGAAAATATAACCTCACAAACTCCATCATGATCTATTTAGTTGTAATATAAAAGAGTTCTCTTCCTTGAAATATTATACTTCCCAGTTAGGGGAATAACTTAAAGTGTTGTTCTAACCAATGTTAAAGAAGTCCAATTCAGCTGCCTAGATGACAGAGTGGACATCTAGGTGGGCATCCAATTCTGTTGGATGGGCATTCTAGGCACTACGATTGATGTTTGGGGGATTGAATTAGATACCAAAAACCCCAAATTGATATTACAAAACCCTACTCTTAGAAAAGGGGAAACATGAGTCTCAAAGTCAAATTAATATTCAATAAGTCTTAAACTAAAAATAAAAAAGTAAAATGAAAGGGACCCGTATCCTCAAAATCAAATTTCTACATCAGTTCATCACCACCAACAAACTGAATGTCACAACTCACAAATCACAACTTACATAACCAACAAAACACATAAGTCCAATTGTGTAAACAAAAACAATTCATCCAAATATGACGAACTCAAATTGGCAATTGAGTTTCATCATTAATACCAATAATGTCCACAGCGGTATCAATACATCTAATGCATCTAATGATGATGCCATGCCATCATCATCAAAGTCATCTCCAACATCCATACATTCTTTATATTCCACATTATCCTGTGAATCTGACTCCTCATCCCCTTCCCTCACTCTCTTCAATCTCTTCCCTCGAGATTGAGATCTCGTGGCCCCCATGTGGCCTATTAGTTATCCCATAAACTTGGCCCCAAGTCAAAGTCCCCTATGGGGAATAATCTATCATTTGCAGCTCGACCAGCCTCTCGCATGTACATCCAAATGTTGACAGTACCAGGCTCGATTACATCACATTATAGATATTGTTCCTTAAGCTTCTCATTATAATGAATGAAAACAAGGTCATTCAGCTCAAGTATGTTTCTCTTTTTTCTATGTATATATTATACAAAGCATGATGCATGATTAGAACTCAAAAAATCAAAATATAATATTAGTTGAACGGACAATCAATTAAATAAGTTAAGAAATACCAACTCAAAGGAACTAAAGTTATTATCACAACCAGATGAGCAGCATGTCAAGCTCATTATGCCTAGAGCCATCCTCTAGAAGTGATTAGAACTTTGTCAGTGATTGGTCCACCATGAACCTAAATTACAATATTTCATAAAAACAAATAGCGTATAAATAGTTTATAATTATAATCAGAAATCAAAGTAGATCTTAGAAGTTAGACTTACAGCCAAGCGCTCAAATCATGAATAAGCAAATTTTAAACTTACCACGAAAAAGTGTTTTTCTCTACCTTATTACCAATCATAGTTGCTTGGATCTTCTAAGATGGGGGTTGCTCCTGCTTCTGACGCTCAATCTGGCACTCCGAGACACAAGATCTCAATTCTGGGCATTTCCTTGATTTAGGGATCTCGATCCGGGAAATCGAGGGACTAGATCCTGAGCTAATGGGATACAAATCCATATGCCCAACATCATGGTTCCATGAGTAACTGGAACCACGATTCCATCAACTTGGAATAGATTATCTTCCACTTTGGGAGTGAGTTTCACCAACACATTGTCAGGTTCATACAAAATGAAGTATGGATCTCCAATTTTTATGACCTAAAAACTTTCTAAAGGCCATGATTTCCTATATATTTTAAAGTTTACAACTTTACACACCTTGTGAATCGTGACTTGTGAATAGTTGCAAAGC